ATTTCCAGTTGTTTTAGCCGAGAAGTTTTATTGTGTAAATATACTTGAAGTTTATGAATGAAAATCAAGAAATGATAAAATCTGTAATTTTATATCTGTTTATAAAGTAAACCAAGTTCAAATTTGTTAAAAAATAGACTTTAGAAATCATAATATTCTCTGTGGCCAAATTAGTATATAACCTCTGTTTCTTATGTCTACTAAGCCCAGAGAGCAAGCAGTGACATAGAGGCAGAACCCATAACCAAAGCCACAAAACACAACTTCTTAAGCCGAGAACCCGATTCACCGGCAGATGTCAGCATCTTGTTATGGAAGAAATCCAATGCAATAAGATCAACTAAGGCCATGTATATAAGAATCCCTGAAGATAGTGATCCTAATAAACCCTCCATTATCAATGCGTTCGGGTTGTGATCATCGTACCCGGTCAACGCGAATATCACCATCCCTAGTACAATCCCGAGAGGCGTGGTAACCGCGAACATCAAGCACATATACACCACTGTTCCTGCCTTAAACCCAGCCTGGCCATCAAATGATACACCCATTCATCAATCCTAAGTTTCATGTATCTTACATGAAACTCACATGTATGTTATATTGGTTCGGTTTTCGGATAACAATGTTTTGGTATGGTTCTATCTACGCTGGTTAAACCGGCATGACCATCTCTAAACTAGGATGTCATTATGTCAACATTTTATGATATGCAAAATGTCAAACATCTATCTAAGTGACTACTAAGTCTACTTCTTAGTAATAATTAGTTTAAAAGTCAGAATTATTAACACATACATTTTTTCTTCAATATAATTATTGTTCTCCCCTGACAAATTTCAACTCAATTAAATTTTGCAATAAATTAGTTTACCAAAGAAATATTAAAAAATAGGAGAATTCAAGATTAGAGACTAACCTGAGCGATGCAACCACCAAGTCCTAAACCTTCAAAAATCTGATGAAACGAAAGAGCAGCAATCAAAGGTCTAATGGTACACTTGTTTTGTGACATTCCCATAGTTACTCCAATTATAACCGAATGAAATATAATCCCAATTTCAAGAACTTGTGACACTAATCTTTGTTTCATCTTCACAATCTCCTCCTCACTATTTTCTTGTATTTCCAAATCACCCCCAAACTTTCCTTCTTTCATCTCTAACCCCCCAACCGCCTTACCAACCGGCATATACTCCATCCCTCCTCCTCCGCCGCCGCCACCACCGTGTCCCATATGTTCACTCGCCGTTAAATCAACCAACAAAGCCGTTATAGCTCCGATCATGGTAACCAAACCAGCAAAAGGAAAGTCTCTCCACGGATGACGAGAGGACACTTGGCAATCAGCTAGGGCCTCGAACGCTTCCGGTAAAACGTGGACTAGCGAAGTCGAGAGAATCACGCCGGCGGCGAAAGACTTGATCACAAGAATCGCTTTGTCGTAGAGAGGCTTCCCGTGAAAGTATCTAGCGAGCAAAACAGGTCCCCAAACACCTAAAACGCTCGTCAAGAAGATGACAAAGACTGAGATAAGCTTTAGATGTGTAGCTGCGTCTCCGTCTCTACATGCAGCTGCTCGTAACGCCGCCTCTGTTCCGGTGACGCAAGAAGCCATGGTTGTGGTGGTGGAAGAAGAAGAAGAAGAAGAGAGAGAGAGAGAGGTTAAGAATAGTACTGAGAGAGAGGACCACGATGGTAATGGCAACACGAACACGAAGTCTTTTTGGTAATAAGGCCCACTTACACGTCAAAACGGTTAATAAAGAAGTGCTTTGTTGAGTATGACTTCCATTTTCCTTATTGGAAAATTTTATATATTAAAGGGTTTTTTCCAATTTTTGTTTTGTTACCATTGTGCTACTTTTTTTTTCTTTTGCTTTATTTGAAGTTGATGAAGATGACATTCTTGAGTTTACTTGTATTTTGTTCTAACTTATCATGGACCGTTTTAAAGCCCATTATGGCTAAGCGGCCTAAGCCCAATTTGTTTTGGCTCGAGACTATGAGGATGATTTGAATCATTTGATGGCTAAATTAGTTTCATTTGCCGCGATAAGGCCTCATGTGAACTGTTTTACATTTCAACTACTACTTGTACGTCTTGGCAGGAGCAAGAAAGTTTAGAATCATTCGGTCAAAATGACTAACCAAAATTATAAAAATCATAAGGATACAATTGTAGAAGAAGCCGGTAGAATGTCAATATATTAGGCTATTAGGTTAGGTAATATAACCTTAAGTTTCTTTAGCTAAGATTAAAATATTAATAAGTTTCCTATCTTATTGATCTCCCAATATTACTAAAACTGTAGTTATATACATATATGTGGGTATGCAAGTAAAGTCTAATATAGAGAGGTACACAGCACGTAGAGATCCTTAATAGACACTTTTTTTTTTTAACCACGAACTCTTTTTTTTTTCTCCGCAATTCGATATGAAAAAGTTGTAAATATTTACATAACAAAATATACATTCGTAGACTAGACTCCATGCATTATTCGATTCTAATCGAATATTCAGTTTTGTGTCCTCACCAAAAAGCAGATAGATTCCTACTTCGTGATTATAAACCTTTAAGAGATTATCTTTAATTAATGTGCTGAAAACATTAGAGAAATCTTATGTATAAACCTTTAAGAGATTATCTTTAATTGATGTGCTGAAAACATTAGAGAAATCTTATGTGGATCTCACCTTGAGATTCTCACGTCTCGATTGGATTAATATCAAATCTTATGTTATTATTATTATTTTTTTTGTTTCGTCGACGGCTGACTTACCTAAATTAATAATAGAGTATTAAGTTCAAACAATTGCTTTCACGAAAAGTCATTTATATAGTATGATAATTTGTGGAAGTTACTGATATATTTTTTTAAAAAAATATTAAAGTCAAATGAAGCAAAAAAGAAAAAAAAAAAAGAAGAAGCAATAATTGGTTCGACGTATGCAGAAAGATTGGGGCATATAAAGTACACGCAGCTTCCTAGTTCGGCAAGAGGACATCAACACCTAACTGTGGGCTGTTTTATCTTTCTAGGGTACTTAGATTATGATGATTTATTTGAAGCCCTTCACACACACCAAACTGTACGATTGGGTGATTTCATTTAGTATCCACCAAAAAAATAGAAAAATATATGTCTAATGGTCGATCAGAATTTCATTAGATATGCCATCAAAAAACATTGCATTAGATGGCTGACCAATGAAGTTGACATGTTCCTAACATGTGAAGTACATTGTCAAATACAAAGTGGACTACATATAGTTAGGTCTAACATGGTAACACAAGAAAACGCATCCAAATTTATCTCCGTTACTTACATTTCTATATATATAACTGTGTGTATATCTATGTTTTAATGATCAGAAATTTCTAATAATTTTTAGGTTTTCTTATGAATTATTGTCAACTCTATATATAGTCTAAAGGGAGACTATACACTTACTGAGATTTCATCTCATCCTCACGACCTCGAATTCAATTTCAATCTCAATCTCATTGAATTCAGTCTATGAATTATGTGTCAACAACATTTTTTGGTTTTATTCCATCTCCAATGAATTTTATTATTCCATTATTTGTTTAGCACTTAATATTTTTCATCATGCAGTTTTTTTTTATTGTTGTTGAAAAAGTCATGCATATTTGATAATGTTGCTTATAATGAAAATTTGAGCGATTATATTATCGTAATATTCAAATATATGTAATGAATAAAATACATACACCAAATTATGTATTTAATTCATTGCATATAAATTTGTTTTTAAAAGAGTAACTTTCCATATATATAAATTTGGTTCAAATATATAATAATTTAAGTACCTACTATATATGCATATACCATTCATGATATTTATGCTAACGTTGACTTATAAATGATAATGAAGATGGGGAATTTACACACACACAAAATACACATATCTACACTGGAAACATATAATTTCATATGTACTAAAAATAAAATAAAATAAACATCGATCAGCACTCAGTAGCATCAGCTGCATTAACATGTTTTAAATACCACTGTGTAAGGACAATAAAAGAAAACACGAAAGCTCCAACAATCATTTCATCCACTCAATTTAGTAAGACTAAATACACATAAATGTAAATGTACACAAATTTGTGCGAACCATATGAATATCACATGGAGTAACTCGACGTATCAGGAAATGAGTTATACCTATCTTTAAAATAGAGGACGGCACATCAATTTAAAATTTTGGTTATAAAACCTAATAAAAAGGGAACATATAAAGGACCACATCAATAGCACCACCAATCTCTCCTTCGTATTAATTCTATACAATACTGAGAAATACTTACATTACAAATTAATTACACTTAACTAATTTAAATGAAATTGTATAGAAATTGACTATTCTTTAAACAAATTTATAGCTCAAAAACAAGATAGGAAGAATGCTAAGGGAAACAAAATGGTGGCACCTACTTGAGGAAATCTTTTTAGATTTTATTATATTGAACAACGATTTATCATACATTAGATCTCGAAATAAAACACGAAATCATAAATTATATAACTATATGTAGGGATAGTTTCGTTTCTCTCGATATGTCATGCCAAGCAAAAATGCAAACTAAAACCCCACAACATGTCTTGGATTCATATATTGATTGTGTCTTAACGTTTTGTGAGTCGATGGTTTGATTGTTCTTTGTTGATAGATATGACTCAACGTTGATTTTGTCCGGTTTGACGGTTGGGCATTTGGCGGTTGTATTCAAGATTTGAGTATTCGATTGAAGACATAACTTGGTGGTACACTCATCTCTTAAATGTAGTCTAAAACAATTAGGTTTCTTTCATTACTATCAGAATCAATAAAAATGAACGATAGAACCAAAAACAGTCGCGGAGTTGCATACTTTATTTCATGTCTAGTCATTAATTTTTAGGAAAAAGTAAAATGAATCGGCATATTGGGACAAAACAAGCGATGAATCTACATAGCTAGGTGAGCTACACATCTCTTGGATCCACAAAGAGCGAAGACCGCGGTTTAGATCTTAAGCACATATTGCTAAACTCACTGAAACCGTTCATCTTCTCCTCGCATTGCAACGGCTTGATGCACCACATATCGTCCTCACATGAAAGCATTTTCCAATGCGGGATACACCTACTCAAAGCATCATCATCGCCGTTGCTTCCTCCATCAACCTCTACCACCACGACTTTACGTGCACCATCATCATCTGACGCAGACATGTTATGAACGTGCTCACACAAAGCCCTAACGAGTTTCCCACTTAACGGACCTTCGGCGTAAACCCCGTAAAGGAAATAGAAACCAAACGGAGTAAACAGATCAGGCAACGACGTTATTCCCAATAACGACAAGAGTTTACCGAAAAGGTTTGAAACTTTAGTGAGAAGCAAATAGCTCAAAGGAGCTTTCTTGATCGTAAGTTTAAAGACTTTGCTACTATCCCAAACACTAAGCATCGCCCAGCTTCCGATGTTGTCATCCTTGTAGTAAGCCGCCCATGTCCCGACACTTAACTTGTTCCGCAAGATTCTGTCTATGTCGTCCGGGAAAAACTCTGTCGTGGCTACCACGTGTCTCCGGTACAACGACTCGGCTTCTTTCACCTGTCACTTAAATATTTGGTTAATGTTTGTCTTTATTCCATGTGAGCCTATATACATATGTTTAATTACTTTTGTGCTCACATGAATATTAGTATACTACGTACCTTTAGCATCCTTATTCCGATGTCCGACGGCAGTTTTGAACTGCGACCAGGGTTGACGGGATTGACAAGGATTGTGGGGTTTCTGAAGACGACATAGCTAAGTTTTCCGACAAAGAGACCGAGAGAGGCTTCATTGTCCTTTTCAGTGGCCATGTAAGCATAGTCGGCATTATGAGACACGAACCATTCCTCGAGCTTTCTCACCAGAATCGAACCAATGCCACGGCGTCGGTACCGAGACACAACTCTGAGACCAAGAACGTAACCTACTCTTACTGACTTACCATGATACTCCACTGGCTTTACTGAGCCTTGTATGGAACCCACCAGCTTGTTCCCAACTTCTGCCACCTATTAATTAAGGTACATTAATTTCTTAAACGTTATTTGTATCGATCCAATTAATAGTACTTAATATGCATGATTTGTAAATCCGTATCAACATATTTACAATGAACACATTTCAAGTTTTAACAAAACCTAACCATTTAAGGTATTACAAACCCTAGCGTGTTTGGGCCAGAGTTTTTCTTTGCCAATATAAATCATGTGTTTTATGGCTAAAACATCATCAACTATTTGCATCTTACATAATAAACTAGTTCGATTACCTATATATGCAGTTGCTGTTTTAATTATATTGTACAAATTAATTAAGATATATTGATATGTCTATAAACATCTTAATTATATCCAATCTCTATATTTGATATAGCTCATCAAATACAGCTATAAAACTATCTAAAAGATATGAAATATACATTCAAGTTAAACACTTATCTCATAAAAAACACTATTTAAAAAACCTAGAAAAAATATAAATTTTACGCGCGAAATTATATTATTATAATTCAAACTTGTCTTTTTTTCTCTTCTTCATAAGAATTTAGGCTCTTGAGAAAAGAGAACCATCTCCTAATTTGTTCTGATTTTATTTTAAAATAAGGAAAGAATCCTAAATTAAGAGAATTTAATAAAAAAAAAAAAAAAAAAGAGAGAGAGAGAGAAATCAACCAGCATAGTGAAGAGAGGACTGTTTCTGATCCTGCAGATGGGATCGCCTAAACTGTCTGTAGAGAGAAGAGTTTGGTCGTCGTGACCAATCTCACAACTCTTCTCCACACGTTCCATTTGAATTCTGTCCCTACGTTCATCGTAGCATCTGATCATCACCTCTTCATCAACTTCTTCTTCCCATTGTCCCAACATTCTCTATCTCTCGTTTTATTTCTTTCAGGAAATGAAAAAGTTGAAATGAAAAGAAGGATAACAATTCATACAATGAGAAGAAGACTCATCCAATGATATATTAATGTGGAATCTTATATATGGAGACACAATATGGAAGTTAATAAAGTGTCCGGGCGACTAGAATTATAGATATTTCATTTTTGTTTTGAATATTAGTTGTAAAGTTCATTAAAGTTTACCAAAACTTGAAAAATTTCATTGACTCCAGGAAAAATAATGTCTGTGCAATTAATATCCTAAATATACATGTAGACTAAAAAGAAGAGTAGAGATCACAACAAAATTTATAGTTAGTTTTAATAAGTTATAATTTTCGAAATTAATTTATTTATTAGGAAATATTATATTACACATCAGTGAAACCTACCTAGTAGGTATCATTAGTGCAAACCCTATCTTGGACTTGCCTTCTAACTTAGGTAAGTAAGTTCCACATACTTTGACTCAATCTTTTAGTAAGATAGTAAATTAGTAATTGTTCCACGTTTATGAATTTATTACCTTCTAAAAGCATTTTGTAGTTGACTACTGTCGTTGGACATGCGTAATTTTTAGTTTTAGTAAATTTATTTACCATTTCGACAAAATAAATTTTCTAATCTTTGTTAGACGCTAATAATCATGTGTTCGCAAATAATATTGAACTTTTCCGAAACAATTCATCGGATCATGTTTTTGTATTATATTTATAATCAATGTATACATTTTACATATAGTTTTAGTACTTTTTCATTTTCAACTATTTTATGTAAAATAAATTAAAAATAACAACAAAATGATAAAAATATTTACCGTTTTCGTTTTAATTTTTTTAGGCAAACGTGTAAGACCATCATCATTAGTGAGTTCTTAACAAATTTTATCTAAGATTTGTTAAAACCCACCAATATCGATAACCTAAGTGTATAGATATAGCCTATTTTTAGAACAAAATGATATGCATAAATGCTATTTAAGCTACATATTGTATATAATGAACCAAAAAAGCTATGTAATGTATATATATATATATATATATATATATATATATATATAAATATATAAGTGACTATGTTTGGTATCTAATAACGACTAGAGAAGTGATCTCTCTACCTTTTCCACACGAGAAGTGAACACTCGTTCATCATTTGTCCCCTTAACAATTCTCTTCTTTTTCCTCTCATGTATTATTATGTTTGTAGTTCTGTTCAAATTTAATATTCTTTTATTACAAATCTATAACAAAAATATAGTAAATCCTGAAATTTAAACCAAAAAATATTGAATGAATCATGTTGTAGATCCCTAAAATTTATGGTAATTTGGAACTGATTTGTGTAAAATTCTTCCTTTCATATGAAAGAAAGCAATTTTTGTCATCGAGTCCTTCAGCCACCAATTTTATATTATTTATTTAAGTTTTAATTCGTTTTTAGTATACTCTATTTTGATTTATTTTCTTACCTTTTGATTTTACCTAATACTCATTGTTGCTTCTCAAATTTCTATATATGGTGGACGGTAAAATAGTCAAGTGTAATTTTACAGAGAAATGTGTTGAATATGATGAATGATAATGTAAGTTAAACTTAATTGTGTTTAGCAATATTCAGTACTTAATAAAACAGTGCATCACATAAAAATACTAGAAAATCTTTTTGACAACTATACATCAAACATTATAGATAATTATGAATTAAAAAAATACTCTATGTATATAGTATTTATAAATCAACTAAAACGTAAATCAAGCAGGACCTTCACATTGAAATTGGATTGGCCAAAAACATTTGACAGTATATGACTGCTATCAACACGTACGTGGGAGCTATCGATTCATAAAGCTTGCACATGATTACATTTAGAAAAATAGTATTTATTAGTTTATTGTTAACTACCATACTAAAATAAAAGTTGGCAGACCAAAAAGCAAAGTTACACAATAATATGATTGGGATATGTTCTGGGAGTGGAAAAAAGAAGTAGAGAACGAATCATATCTTCACTACCCTAAACTAAACCAAAGCCAAAATGAATACGTAACTCGATAAAGATTAGCAAATTTTCTTTTTAATTTGAGCAATTTGAAGAAAAGTTTTTGGATTGTAATTGATTATTTATCATCATCTCTCTGTGCAATGTATTTTGTGCGTTCTAGGGAGTGATGGTCCACAACCACAACAGACTAGAGAATTGACATGGATGGAGCACAAGTTTATTGGAGGAGAACAATATCCTCGGACATGAAAAGACACAAAGGAGATTACTAAGTCTATATATGGAGAAATTTGAAAGTTTCTTTTTGCTAAGACTGTAAATATTTCATTTGAATAATTTATTAATAAAATTTTACTAAATATCCATATTTCAATTCTTCTTTCACTTTGGTATTTTGATTTTTTTTCCATAAATAATTTATTGATCATATTTTACTTCTAACTTTTTCAGTATCTAAAACATATAATTTTCCAAATTTATAAGATAATTTAATTCGTAGCCCATTCAACGCCACAAAAATGATCTATAAAATCCGCAAGAAAATTGAATACATATTCCATATTTATTTTTATTTTTGTTAAACATTCCATTAACTGCCACCATAAAATAAAATTCAAATGATACGTTCAGCCTTATAAACGTTAGTAATATTATGCACAATAAGTATCTATTCGTAAATATGGAAGATCTAAGTATAAAACAATAGTGATATAAAATAAATAATTTGACCAAAAAAAAAAATATATATATATATTATACAGTATACGGTAATTTGACATTTCCCAAGACCTAAGAATTTTATAAATAGTCTTTCTCTAAGGTCAAAAAATCAGTAAAAAATTTCTCGCTATATCAACTTCATATACAAACAAAATTATTATGGCTATCACAAAGCTACGATGTTGTTGCATGGATAGATAATTTGATATTTTTATTCATAAGAGATAAAAATAAAAATAAACTATATTATTATTTTCATTAACTTTGTTTTTAAAATTGCTTTCTTTTGTAACAGTTTTATTCTACATTTTTAAATATAATGTTTATTTTCTAAACTATTGGTCGTTTTCTTAAAGAAAACATAAATCTTCAAATTTTTTTGTGCAACATTTTCAAGGAACAATTCTTGGATTCAAAATTCAAAAAGAATTTTGAACAATTCGTAACTTCCTTTCAAAAACAATATTTAGTCATAGTCTTCTTAGTTATAAAATACCGATAAAAAAACCATATCTCCTGTTCACGGTTTTAAGTTTGTTCATCGTGCTCACATTACTTGGTAACGATTTTCCTCCCCTACTCTTAGTAATCCAGAGTCCAGATGTTGACATTATCAATTGTGTTAAAAGAGAGGATCAACCATCTATGCTTCAATCTTCGTTTCAAAACCATAAGATTCATGTTTTTTTCTTTCTTTTTTTTTTTTAAAAAAACAAATTTTAATGACACAATAAAACTACCATCGAATATGGTGGTACAAACCGGTGCGTTTATTCGGTGGCAAGTTTGACACTCTACGGAACTTATCTGCCCTCCGAGCACCATACCGATTAGACAGTCTGGCACTTCAAAAACTCATCGGAAGAAACATGCGAGGAACTAGACAATTGTTCCCAAACCTAGTTACTCATCGTCCCTGGCATTTGGACATAAGGTATTACTTTAGGCTTTTTTTCTTAATTTTTTAGAATAAACATTTGAGGCTTTTTCTTATTTTTTTCATATTAACATTTGGGCCTTTTATAAATTGCTCTCTAAATATTTTTCTAGGTCTTTACATAACTAAACATTTCAAGGCCTTTCATAATCTTTTCTATAAAATAATTTCAGGCAACCGGGCTTGAATCCAACTATATATATAAAAGCCTTAGAGCATGTCCAATGCTTGTATCTTACCAAAATTTCTTTGTAATTTTTTTTTGTTATAAATAGTGTACTTTTTAAAAATAAGAGATTTTTGAAGATAATTAAAATTATCCACCTTCAATGACAAAACTCTTAATTAAAGTTCTTAAAAATAATAATTTGAAAACTAAAATTTTATAAAACATGAAATTATTAATTTGTAACACACATAATATAAAACATAATTACAACATAATTCAAATACAAAGTACAAATCATATTTTAATTATTGCCAAATATTCTCAACCAAATCAGATTTCAATAAAAACATAATAAAAACACATAGTATAAATCATATCTTAATTGTTGCCAAAATTTTGTCAAATATTTTCAACCAAATGAGATTTCAATCAAAACATAAGTAAAACATAAGTAAACCACATAGTACAAATGAGTTATTTTTTTTTTCTAAACTCAAACCATTCACAAGTAAACACATGGCACTAAGATATACCCACAAAATTCTTTAACTAACATACATATCTAGTCTAAATTATCATTAATGATTTAATTTTTGGTCTATTATTACTAAGTAACAACTTAAGATACAAGCATTGGACATGCTCAGTATGGTTTATTTTAACATTTTTCAGTATGGTTTCAACAATTAAGGATTATTAAAAGTAAAATAAAATAATAACATTATATTTATTAACATTTACATATTTTATGCAGAGAGATGCTTATTTAGACACATGGTGTTATAGCCAATGTTGTTCCACTAGGCTATTGGCCTTCAGACATATTCACTACTCTATCAGAAGAAGCAACGGCTATACAATGGGGGGTGAGGTATACGACGAGGGTAACTTCAACTAGAGATGGGTTCAGGTCAATGCGCTGTTCAAGGATTCAACAAAGCCGCCCACGTTTCCAACATTCAAGTTAGAGCAACTAAACAAGAGTTTTTACCGGGTCCAGGATTCAGAGAACTTGCAAATTACCCCTACACAGTTAAACGAATTGACCATGCAAGATTTTATTACGGCAGTCCTCTAGGTTCAGCTTCGGCTCCCCGAAGAACCACTGCTTATGTATTCATAGTATCCCTCTGCATTATATATATGAGTATGTAATTCACTATAGTTTAATGATAAGAAACATTCAACTTTTATATTGTATCAGAGTAAACTATCAACTTCTGATTTTTGGGTCTATTTATGGGGTTTCGATCTGATTATATAGTGTTGGTTCTTTTGATGATGGTGTTCATTGGCATGTTCTTATAGCTTGCGAGATTTCTGAGGATTTTTAGTGTTCTTTTCTTTCTCTGTAGACTGTTTAGCAATACTCTAGATACTTAAATTTGATGGCTTGGCTTTGCTATTGTTTGTTGCGGGATGTGGAGTATTCGGGAATCTAAAGGCATGTCTCGTCCATCTGTAACCGAAGCTGAAAAATTAAATCTCGTCTCTCAAGGCTGCAATCCAAAAGGTGTGAGTATAAAAATTATGGATTGTTCTTGGTTATGAAACTTGTCAATTTGTGTGTTCATGATCATTTGATTGGGTTTCTCCATTAGCTTTACCAGAAAGAATTAATAAGAGTATTGTGTTCACCACATGATAGCTTACTTGAATACTTTGGCTTCAATGGAATTGGAGAACTCAATTTGTAGATATAGCCAACCGTGTACATGATTAATCTTGTGTATGCTTTCAAGCCTAGTACATGGTTCATCTTGTGTTTTTTTTCTGGAATCATTTTTATGTATCTTGATTAGAGGCTAACATATGTTTGAATATGAGCTCATGATCACTTCTTGTTATCACCACGAGACACCATCTCTTTTCGGATCATACGTATCCTTATCCAACTTGAGAAACTCAAAGAATCTTGATGTAGTAACTCTAGAACCACCAAGTAACCATTCATGTACAACACATCCCTTGCTATACTTTATAACATGAGGGTGTGTGCTAACTGATTATCTATGCGTCCAATTTCTCAATTTCATTATTTTGCACAAGGCAATACTTGTAGGGTCTCATAGGTTTACTTGTGAATATCCTTTTTGTAAAGTGATGGAACGCTTCTAGCTGGTGGCAGTCCCCTAGGCATCTCAAAGGCTTCTTTGTACTAATCAGTTGTATCTCTTTTGTACACGAAACCTTATGTTACTGACTCTGGTTATCAAAAACGTAGATAGTTCCAGGCTTCCAACATGTATACCTCTACATTTTGCTTATTCACTCTCTTGATTGAGTGTAGTGTAAATACACTTGTTCCAAACTCAAAGCAGGACCCCTTACAATAGCTACCCAATAAGTTCCGGTCTTCTAACTAAGTTGTCAATGAACCCCAATTGGTCCAAGTGTCATCGAATGTTGTCAGCCATTCAGCCGATAAAACCCAAGAACTACATCAAATCTTTACAAGTTTCACATTTTGAACACATATGTTTTTTTTTTTAAAGTCTAAACACATATAATCTTCTAAAAGCTAAAACATATGCTTTAAAATCCACTTTTTTTTTTTTTGTTGTTTTGATTTTTTTGGTTAACCTCGAAAATTTGGATTAGAAACCAAAAATATCAAAACAACAAAAAAAGATTTCAGTTAGGCGAAAATGCTTTGAGGTATAGTTATTTTTGTTTTAGTTGATGTGGGAATTGGGATCGGTTTAAATAGCGATCTCTTATTTTTAGTGGGCCAAAACTTACTCATTTGCTTGGGCTAAATCACAACTGCGACCGCCACAAGTGAATATTGGTTCTTTGGGAAATATGTCTCTCTATGTGTTTTGGATATGCAACTTAGCCTACATTACAATTTTATAAAACTCCCTTTCTAACCCTTTGTTATTCTTTTATAACAGAGTGGTCAAATTGTATAAAATCTTTCTGCTAGAAAAAATTAGACCAAGTCCTAGAGAAATTAGCATCTTAATATTCATATATATCTCTCTCTTAGTTTTACTTCAACCAAATTAATATTTTTTTGTGCAACCAACCAAAATTAATTATGAAATAAATAAAAAATTGAAGGATCAACAACAACAATCAACAACCATTAGTTACAAGGGTAGAAAAGTCTTTTCTCGGCTTAGTATATTGCGATGCTGGGAGCTTTGAAGCGGCACAATGACACGTAAGCGCTTCGTAGCCTCTGCTTCATAACCAAGACTCACTTATCTACCGTTCGATTAAAAAACCTCAATCAAATCTCAACCCTTCATTTAATTAGATAAATAAATTAAAGTTTTTAATTTTCTGTTATCCTTTCATTGTCTTCCTCACTGGTAAGGTTCTCTTTTTATAATTCCATGGATTATCTTAGTTTCCACTCTCATGGTATCTTTCCAGAAATCACTAAAACTAGATTCTTTAAAGCTTTTTAGTTTCAAAGTTTTTGACTTTAAACCTTTCTCCATAAAAATTTAGAAACTTTTTTTGATTTTTCTCATTTGGGATTACTTTAGTTATGGCTTATGCTCGTGGCTTCGCTTCGTTGACGCAACTCAACCTAATCTTCTCGCCGTCGATTTCTCTCCGACGAGTTTATCGAACCCCCGGCGTGAAATCCGTTTCCCGAATCAGCTGCAATCTGAAACTAAACTACTCTGCTGGGAAATTTCGAGACCTCAAACTGTCACGTTCCGTGGAGCTAGACCAATTCATCACAAGCGAGGAAGAAGGAGGAGAAGAAGCAGAAGATGAAATTGGAGAAGGGTTTTTCGAAGCGATTGAAGAGTTAGAGAGGATGACTAGAGAACCATCGGATGTTCTTGAGGAGATGAATCATAGACTATCTTCTCGAGAATTGCAATTGATGCTTGTCTACTTCGCACAAGAAGGTAGAGATTCTTGGTGTACTTTAGAAGTGTTTGAATGGTTGAAAAAGGAAAACAGAGTTGATGAACAGATGGTGGAGCTTATGGTTTCGATTATGTGTGGTTGGGTTAAGAAATTGATACAGGAGGAGTGTGGTGCAGACCAAGTATTCGACTTATTGATTGAGATGGATTGTGTTGGGTTAAAACCTGGTTTTAGTATGATGGAGAAGGTTATTGCTTTGTATTGTGAGATGGGGAAGAAAGAAAGTGCGGTTTTGTTTGTCAAGGAGGTTTTAAGGAGGAGAGATGGGTTTGGTTATAGTGTTGTTGGTGGTTCTGAAGGTCGAAAAGGTGGACCAGTTGGGTATCTTGCTTGGAAATTGATGGTAAATTTTAAAACTTTTACATAATCTTTACAAGTTTGGTGGATTTGAGATCAAAGAGATGTGATATGGATGGTTACTTCTCAATTTTTTTCTGGCTAGCATTTTTTATGTGGATGTGTCTTTTGTTTATATCAGGTTGATGGAGACTATAAGAAGGCAGTTGATTTGGTTGTTGAGTTAAGACTCTCTGGGCTAATGCCAGAAGCTTACAGTTATCTAATTGCGATGACAGCCATTGTGAAAGAGCTGAATAGTCTTGGGAAGACATTACGCGAGTTAAAACGCTTTACACGTGCTGGTTATGTTACTGAAATCGATGACCACGATAGGGTACTCATTGAGAAGTACCAGTCAGAAACATTATCTCGCGGATTGCAATTGGCCACTTGGGCGGTTGAGGAAGGCCAGCAAGAGGATTCCATTATCGGGGTGGTCCACGAGAGGCTCCTCGCTATGTACATATGCGCAGGACGTGGACCAGAAGCAGAGAAACAGCTTTGGAAGATGAAACTTGCAGGGAGAGAACCGGAAGCTGAGCTCCACGACATCGTTATGGCCATCTGCGCTTCACAAAAAGAGGTTAATGCAGTTTCGCGGCTTCTGACACGAGTTGAGTTCATGGAATCTAAAAGAAAGAAGAAGACTCTGTCTTGGTTGCTCAGAGGGTATGTGAAAGGAGGGCACTTTGAAGAGGCTGCAGAGACATTGATAACGATGATCGACTCTGGCTTGCATCCGGAGTATATTGATCGAGTGGCTGTGATGCAAGGAATGACTAGGAAGATCCAACGGCCGAGAGATATTGAAGCATATATGGGGCTGTGCAAGAGGCTGTTTGATGCTGGTTTGGTAGGACCTTGTCTTGTGTATATGTACATGGATAAATATAAGTTGTGGATAGTGAAGATGATGTGAAGGAAAGATAGAGAAAGAAGTTTAAGGACTCTAGCTTAGGTGGAGAGAACTGGATCTACAATTTTTCGGTATATAATAAATCTAAATGTATGTAATAGTCTGTTTATAAAAAGGAAAATTTTTTGGTCTTGTTATGCTATCATAAATTTTATGTCCTGCAAGCCAAGTACGTCAATCACAACATCTTCACTCTCTCTACTCGTGATGTATTTGGAGCTCAAGGTCATTTCATTACTTCTCCAGAAGTTAGTCAAATGTTTGGTGAGGTAATTACTTAGCATTTTTTTATTTGAGAGTTATAGATGATAGGTCTGGATCATGTCTTGCTAATGCCTAACTTTCGGGTGGTTTGTTTGTTCTTTGTTATACGTTACCTTGTTTATTTGCAACTGTTTTAGGATCACACTAATCAGATTCTGTTTTAAAACTGCAAGTTTTTGTTTTGAAGTTTTAGATTGTATTTTAAACACTTTCAGTATTGGTTTTTAAAATTTTAAGGTTTTGGTTTTAAAAACTGCAGGTTCTGGTTTGAAAACTTTAAGGTATTGGTTTTCAAAACTGCAGGATTTGGGTTTAAGGTTCTATTTTCTCTATAAGAAGTGAAACTGCAGTTTGGTTTTGAAGTTCAGGTTCTGTTTTAAGAACTTAAAAAGGTTTTGGTTATTATACTGCATGATTTGGGTTTAAAGTTCTGTCTCTATAAGCTATATGGAATTGCAGGTTTGATTTTTGAAGTTTCAAGTTCTGTTTTAAAAACTTTCAGGTTATGGTCTTGAAATTTCATTTTCTGTTTGAATCATTACTTCTTACATAGATTCAAACATCACCATCTTACATAGATTCAAGGATTTGGGTTCAAGGTTCATCTGAAATTTAAAAACTCTCTGCTTGAATCATCACCTTCTTACATAGATTCTTAAGTCTGGATTTTTCAATGTGTTATTCATGCTAATTCTTATTTGTATGCTTCTTTATGTTGTTGTTATTTTAAGCTTTCACTAGTACATGTTACTAATTTGTTTAATATTGTTGATAAAAAATACTACTCAGTCTCAGTCCTTTGCAGATGCTTGTTCTACGAATGCAAATGTTTTAAAACCTGCAACTGCATTTACTCAAACTCACTACTGAAACTGAATTGCAACTTAGAAAACCAAAAGGTACAAAACCTGCAAATACACAAAAAATCTGGAAATGTTTAAAAACCTGCAAATACAAAAAAAACTGCAAATATTTAAAAACCTGCAACTACTCAAACTCAATTCTCAAACTGAACTGCAACTTAGAAAACCATAAGGCCCAAAACCTTCAAATTTTAATTACCAAAAACCTCAAAACTCACTAAACTGCAACTTAGAAAACCATAAGGTCCAAAACCTTCAAATTTTAATTACCAAAAACCTCAAAACTCACTAAACTGCAACTTAGAAAACCATAAGGTCCAAAACCTTCAAATTTTATTTACCAAAAACCTCAAAACTCACTAAACTGCAACTTAGAAAACCATAAGGTCCAAAACCTTCAAATTTTTATTTACCAAAAACCTCACAATTCACTATAATTGCAACTTAGAAAACCAAAAACCAAACTCAAACATTGATAAAAGATTATATATGAACTCAAACTTGAAAAAGAACTGAAACATAACTGAACTCAAACTAAAAAACCTGCAACAACTCAATCTCAATCTTAAAAGTACATAAACTCAACTCAAACAAAAACATATATGTATTGTTGAGAACCATCATGGGGTTCTAACCATTGGAGATGGTCTAATAAATCTGTATGTAAATAATAGTCTGTTTATGAAAAAAAGAAAACCTTTTGGTCATGCAAAGCCAAGTACATCAATCAGAACATCTTCACTCTCTCTACTCAAGTTCGTTTTATTAATCAAACCCTTTGTTACACCTATGTACCTTAAAAATGGATGTAACAAATGCTCTCTCTCTGTCTATCTATTTTTGTTTCTTTTTAGTTCTAATCTTCTCCTCGAGTAACTCTCCGTCGAGTTCATACATTCTGTTCAGAGCCTCCATGTTCTCTAGTGTCTCATGCAGCATTCTGCTGTCACTCCCATCGCATCTCAAATGTTGCATTGGGCCGTGCAGGATCTTGTTCACTATTTCTCCGGTTAGTTTCTCTACGGCTTCCCTCGTCTTCTTGTCAATGTCATTCCCATGTTTCGACATAAACTTTTCAACAGAAGCTGCTCTGATTCTATCTGCTTTGCTTCTTAATTTCTTGATTGTTGGAACCGTCTGCAGCGAATCCCTCCACGCTTCAAACATTTTGGATTCCTGCGTGATTATATCCCGAGCTTCCATTGCTTTCCTCGCCCTGTATTCCTTATTGGCATCAACGACTTCCTTGAGGTCATCCACGTTGTAAACCCGTGCACCGTCTAATTCAGCAACACAAGAACCAACGTTTCTAGGAACAGAGATATCAACAAAGAGCCTCGCATGATCTGCAGGAGGAGGAGGTAGCATCTCTACATGATCCTTCAAGAACAATGGTGTCTCAGATGCTGTGCTAGTAAATATAACGTCTGCTTCCGCAGCACAAGCTAGCATCTCATCAAAGGGTTTATAAATAATCTCAACACTAGGCGGCATCTCCTTACGAATAGCTTCAACTTTCTCTTCGCTTCGGTTCACAACCACCATTTTAGTGCAACCTTTAGCAACAAGGTGCTTGATCACAAGCCTCCCCATCTTTCCTGCACCAATCACCAACATCAAAACAGATAATACTCCTGGAACCTTGGTGAGAGCAAGTTCAACAGCAGCTGAGCTAACAGAGACAGCACCAGAGGCGATATTAGTCTTTTGTCTAACAAGCGCTCCAGCAGAGATAGCCTTTTCAAATAGCCCACCGATCATCATCCCAAACCCATTATTCCCTACTTTTTCTTTACCTACCCGACTAACTTGTTTAACCTGTGCAAGTATCTGACCTTCACCTAAGACAAGAGAGTCCAAACCAGCTGAGACTTGAAACAAATGCAGCGTGGCGTCTTTGTTATACAACAAGAACCGATGGTGACAGATATCTGAAACAGGGATCCCACTTCTCTTAGACATCCACTCAGTAACTTCTTTGACACCACGGTGGAGAGAAAGAACAGAAACATAAATCTCAATACGGTTGCAGGTACTGAGCACAGCAGCTTCTTCAATGTGATTCAAAGCACATAACTGAGTGATAGCTAGTGGCCATTCAGCTTCTGGAATCGCAAGCTTCTCACGCATCTCTAATGGAGCTGTGTGAATGCTTAGCCCAATCACCACAATGCTGCTTCTCTCCCTTGTGTATCCTGGTCGTACCGGAATTAAAAAAAAAAACAAAAGTTTTATGAGTCTTATATAAACCACGAGTCTTCTCCCTCAAAAAAACAAAAGCTTTATGAGTCTTATATAAACCACGAGTCTTCTCCCTCAAAGCTTTATGATCAAAATGAAAAATTTGCAGAAAGGAGATTCATTTTACTGTCAATTAGAGATAAATTCTTAAGCTGGTTCAGAGCCGATGAGTCGTTGGGAGAAGGAGAAAGCTCGCAACGGGATCTATGGATCAGACCTCGCCTTGTCCTGTTGTTCATCGGAAGCGTAGGAATCGGAAACAGATACGGAGAATGGTGATTCCATGACGACGTCTTCTTCACCTTGGGGATAATGACAACAAAGGCTGCACTAGAAGAAACGGCCATTGCTTTGATGGATTTACAAAACGATCACGAGGAGGAAGAGGTGTAAAAGCAAACAGATGCCTAATTCAGAAGCACTTTAGAAGAAACCAAATTTGATGGGAGTTGAGGAGGAAGGTATCATTGTGTCCGTAAGATCAGGCTCGGTTTCGAGAGTTTCACATATACGCCTCGTGAAGCAGAGAAGACGACGTTTTAGATTTTAGGGATTTTTGATGATGATGAGGCGATTTGGGTCAAAACCAAAACATAGATAACAAGTGGAGAATTTTGACTGGTCGGATTACATGCACGAATGTATTCAATTAAAGATTTTTGAAAATTTTAGGAATTTATAGATTTTGACAGATTTGAGTTGAGTTTTGTAGGATATTTTTGGTGGTATCGTTGAATGTTTGATTTTAGAAATAGAAAAATAGTTTGTGATTTGGTAAGATTTTTATGGAAAAAATTAAAACCAAAATAAAATGAAATCAAAAAATTTGGGAGAGTGAGGAACGAAGATTTTTTTATATTTTTTTTTGTTTCTGAAGAAAGGTTTTTGTGAATTGTTTTGTCAAAATCCTTCAAAATAACATTTTCAGAGATGAGATTTGTTTATTCCTGTTTCTCAAGTAAAAATATATTCAAAATCTATCAAAATCAGTTTTTATTATAATTCTCAAAAAAATATTGTTAAGTTTGAATACTAGTGAGTTTGATATGATATATATATATATATTATTGATTGAATTTGAATGACAAGAGATTGTGAATTATTTTGAATGAGTTTATGTAAACTTCAAGTTCAATAACATGAGATTTGAGAAAAGATTTAAAAATCACAAACTGAATAACATATGATTTTAAAACCAATCGAAAATTTTCTAAAATCCTTGTATCAAACTTTCAGTACATCCCCTGACTAAAAAATAATCATATGAAATTACACAGTTTAAACTTAATTATTAAATCACAAAGTAGAAAAGATTTGCTCTGTGTAAGTTTGTCGAAACTAAACTCAACTGTTACTTGTTTGTGGTATTACATTACTGAAGAGTGAAACAAATGATATTTAGATCATACCAAAATGCAACATAGAGTTATATCATAAACTGTTTCAAAAGCTTTTGATAAGTGATGAAAGAGTGCAACATATAATCTTGTATGAGAAAAACTTAGGCAATCTCCAAAACCCAATCCTTAGTGTCTTGGATAGAGCCAGTTTGTATTCCGACCAGAACAGATCGAAGTTCCTGTGTAACAGACGCATCTCCCACTTTGTACTCAGTCCTGCACATTTTCTAATAAACCTCATACTATATACATACATGTACATGTGGAGAATTAAGAAGAAAAAGAAGAGACCTTGTGTTCTGAAACGTGATGCTTCCAACTGAAGCAACCCCAGTGGCAGTTCCAGTGCAGAAAACTTCTCTTGCTTCCTTCAGTTCTTCTACGGCAACGCTTCGTTCTTCCACCTGCCCGTTAGACACTTCTTAAAAACTAGCCAGTGTGTATGTGATTTGTTTTGCCTCAAAAAGGTAACAGAGTATTTCTCTGTTTTTGACTCAAAAAGGTAACAGAGTATTTCTCTGTTTTTGACTCAAGGATGTTAACAACGTTAAGAGTAAGACAGATATGGTATGACTTACTAACCTTGTAACCAAGATCAAGGGCTATTTCGATGACGCTCTTACGCGTGATCCCTCCTAGAATTGTCCCGTTAGTAGCTGGAGTCACTATTGTATTCCCCTGAAAGAACTCAATAAACTTCAATTAGTATACAATAGAAGAAGGAAAAAGCATTCAACTTCAGTCTTAACATAGTGTTTGTTTAACCTTCACAAGGAATATATTAGAACCAGAGACTTCTTCTATGTTCTTCCCAGTCTCTGCATCAAGATACAAAACATCCGAAAAACCTCTCGATTTCGCGCTTCTCATCGCCTCAAGTACCTTTTACAGTTTATCACCAAAACAAAAATTACTTTTTGGAACGAAACACCTTGTTTAGTACTTGAAACCAAATAGGATGCGAGAGTTTAAACTTACTGGACTGTAATTTGTAATTGCTTTTATGCCACCAGTTCCACCAATATAGGCGCGTGGAACCACCTCCTCCACGTACAGGTTCAACGCCGCTGTGCCTTCCTATACAAGCAATCAAATTCAAGAACAAGACACAATATTGGAAAGAAGAAATCTCTCTCTTTTAAAAATCTATCATGACCTTGAAATAGTTTTGAACAGGAGAACCAAACACAAGAAACGTGTACTCTAGTGCTGGAGCCACACTCAAGCTTGCTCCACTTCCAAACAACAACGGTCTGAGATACAAAGAGCCTTTTCCAGGAGGAGGAACCTAATGAGAAAACAATCCTGACCCTTTAAAGAAACCTAAACCAAAGATTCATTTCGTGGACCAAAAGGTATCGAAATTTTTACCAAACGCCTGTTTGCAATAACAGTCTGCTTAACACCTTCAATAAAGTGTTGAACAGAAGGAGAATGCATACACATTCTCTCAGCTCCTATCTTCATACGCATCGCGTTTAGCTCTGGACGGAAGAGAAGAACCCTACCGTCTTCTCCTCTGTACGCTTTCATCCCCTCAATTATTCCCTTGAGAAAACCACCAGAAAAATTTAGTTTTATAAACCATTAATTAGAATACCAGGAAAGTTAGAGAGATTAGAAGCTTTACCTGGCCATAGTTAAGAATTACAGCAGCAGGGTTTAGCTCGATGTTGCCGTAACGGCTAAGGTAACCCTGTTCGAAGTTTGCTTCACTGCTACTTTTGGCGGTGAACATGTAATCTGACCGTACATGACTAAATCCAAGGTTGTCCCAATCAACATCAGCATACTCTTCATCCTCACTGTAACACAAGAAATACACCTATTGAAGCTTCCTTTTATACCTTTTCTTTTTTTTTGGTCATTCTTTCATATAACTAGAATCTAATTTCAAGGACTATCTATTATAAATTCAGACCAAACAGAACTTTTACGGTTCAAAATGTGAAGCACATATACAGGCTAAAGTTTCAACTTTCAAACCCTCTTAAAACTAGTAAACAAACACATGCATCCACGTTGTAATTAAAATTTAAACATCATAATAAACGTCGATCAAATCAAAAGAAAAGTTATACTCCTCTAATAAAATAAAAATAATATAAAAAATAACTATTCAAGATTGAAAAATTAAAGAGATAACTAGCCACACTTATTTTTTATTAGTTCGTTTTTTTTAGCTATTGTAAATTGGAAAAAAATGCTTCTATGTATATAACAAATATTTTAACAATAAAAAAAAATAGATCTTCATAAATTATAGACTAACTTCTACACTTCATTTATATGTCCTCTTGTGTATATAAGTTAGGGAAATTGCAAAGGATGTGCTCGATTGACCAAAAAATAAAATTTCTCGATACCCTATCTTTAAAATTAGCTCTCAATTTTCTTTCCGACTGTAGCCCTATACTCATGATTTAGAGTAGGCTATCATTTAACCTAAAGATTGCTGAGGAAAAATCTTTAGGCTGGATTTCTTTTTGCCTAGGGAAAATAAAAAGGAAAAGATGTGTTTGGTTTCGCAATCGGCGTATTTCGAAGTGATTATTACCGGAGACCTGACTTTTCGCCAACCATTTAAGTTTCACTTGTTTCCTCTCTTCTTCTCCTCGTCCGCAAAATACAGACTTCGCGAGTTCGTTTTGTTGCCTGATTCCAGTCTCGTTTTTGCTTTTTTCGGTAAGATCTATTTCGTAGACATTAATTTCCCAATCTATTGATTACAAATCGATAATTTCCCAGATTTCCCCTTTATTAGATGACGGATTTGCAACTCCCTAATCGGATAATCGCATATGGTGAAGAAGCGCTGGGAGAGCGAGTAAATGTATATCACAAGATGAAAACCCTCTCCTTGATAATCGACGCCATGGATGATGAAGAGAGGGTGTGGATACGGTCGACTGGTTTTGGAAATCTTATGGATTTCCCAGATAAACCCGCCTGGTCAGCTTCCTTTGGGCTTTTCCTTTTGTCAAGACAGCTCGAAGTTGCTCGTGCTCATGAAATCTGGGTAGTTTTCGCTGGTACCCCGGTTAGGTTCTCTTTACGCGAATTCAAGATTGTTACCGGTCTCCAATGCGGTAGGTTTCCGAATATGCAGAAGAGGAAAAGAAAAGGGACTGCAGGTATTAAAATTCCTTACTACAGTACACTTTTTGGGCTCGAGGAGGACGTCACCGTCGATCGAGTAATATCCATGCTTAAGAAGAGGCATGTGACAGATAAGGAGATTCGGAAAAGGTTTGTTTGTCTTGCCATAGTGGATGGATTCCTTGTGCCTACATCACACTACCCTAAAATTGTCAAAGAACATGCGGAGATGTGCGAGGATCTACAGTTCTTTCTTTCATATCCTTGGGGGCGGCTATCCTTTGAGATGATGATGAAGTCTATCAAAGATAGGGATGTTGTGCAATTGGCTACCACCTGTGTTGTCGTTCAGGGATTATTATATGCTCTACAACTTGTTATACTGTAAGCCGCTCCTGCAATTCAAGAGGGATCACCATCCCACGAGCATCCGTGTAGCGATTCCGATGAAGAGCCTGCTGCCGACGCCGGAACTCGCCACTCTGTACCACTAAAAATTTCTAATGCGAAACGGTTGGACAGTAACTGTGAGGTTAGCACGCTAACCTCTTGTATATCCACCATTTAATTGCGCTACATATAACGATATTCTTATTCGTTTGTCATCTTATCCAGTTCTAATGTTAACCATCTTGATTTTTAAGATTTTGGTTGACCCGATTATATCCCCCGATCTCGAGATGGATACCGACGAGGATCTGACTTGGGATGACGACTGTGCTGACGTGGCGGTTGATAACATTGTGTCGCTAGCAGAGGAGGGTTTTTTGTTCAATAACGACATGTTTACCGGAGGATGCATTCCATCCCAGTTGGAGTTGGCGCCCAAGAAGCAGAAACGGGGAGTGAAGGCCAAAATTACCAGAGCTAGGAAAGCCCAAAAACCTTCTTCTTCCCAAGCTGGAATGAATAGAGATCGCGGAACCGCTGTTCAAGCTCCCTCTGGTGTGTCTGGTATGTGCAATCTAGCAACGCTCTCCCGTCTGTTGGACTCGAAGCTGGCCGCAATGGAGGCTCGGATCATAAAGGGTGTAACTGATTTGATAACAACCAACGCAAACAGAGTTTTTCCCAAACACTCTGATGTGCTTGATTCTGGTTTATCCGACCACCAGAGGACTAATTCACCAACCCCTACATCCCCGAAACAACCGTCTAAGGGAATTCATCGCTTGGAAACTTCGCCTGAGATTGTTGTCGAGGATACCAACCGGCCTACTCCCATTCACTCCATTGCCGAGACTGATGTTGTCTACACCAACCGGGCCGCCGCCATGAACTCCATTGCTGCTGTTCTGTCGTGTTATCAAGACAACTCCAACGCGGTTAGTTATTACATTTTAGAGACAGTTCTTTATTTGGCAGATTTATGTAATTCTATTTAATATCCCTTAATCACACATTCCCCTATTTACAGCCCAATATTGCGCAGACAGCTCCTAAGAACCCTGCTGTTACCCCTGATGCAGGCGCGGAAACTATACTGCCTGTTAACAAGGATGTTAGTGTATATGTTTTGATTTAGTCGATAATAGAAAATCTTTTAAAATTCCATTACACACTGTTTTGATTTTGTGTCTGTTGCAGTCTGAGGTTGGCGGTGGGTGTGTCTTGAATGGTTGTGATGGTAGAATTGAGACGCAGCCGGTAATATGAGACTAATGATGTCTATGTTGTTATCCATTGATAAACATCTGTTATAACTAAATAATTTAATCCTGTTCAGCTTGGCTTGGTTGTTGGTGATGGAGTAGGCTTTACCTCTTAGATAGCTAAGGTTAGTCAAAACATGGTTGTTTTCGAAATTTGGACGATGGTGTTAAATAATCTGACATTGTTAGGATAGATTGTTATTCCAATTACTTGTTGTCTAATTTATCCATTAATGAATTTGTAACACTCTTGTGAAGTATGGTTGTCGTTACCATATGGACATTGTGCTTGACGAGGCAGTTGAAATTAACCCTAACACAGTAGTTGTAAGTTCCACACTTAACGGTTATCTCATGTTCATATTGCAAATAGTACTGTGTATTACCAATTCTAAGTTATAATATATTGTTGCAGGGGGTGGATGAGTCTGGTGTTGGAGTGATTGAACCGGATGGCTTAGTCGAATCTCCAATGACGGGTGTTGAAGTGGATATGGTTAGTTTTTTTTGCCCTAACTTGAAGATGGATCCGATGTGTACAAAATTTAATAAGAAACATGGTCATTTGCAGGAGTTGGACGTTCCTTCTGCTAGAGGGGAGGGAGATGGGATTAATAACCCGGATAACATTGTGGTTAGTTGATTAGATCTTTATTAGTCGATTTATACTTATCCGGCATTATATCATTAGCAATAATGGCTTTAAATAATGGGTTGTATCCAGTAAAATGATTTTTATCCAATAAAATGGTTTGTATCTGTCTGCTGTCTTATAGACTCAATTATATGTTGGTTCATGGGCAGTTGCAGGAGTTGGACGTTCCTTCTGCTAGAGCGGAGGTAGTTGGGATTAACGACCCGGATAACACTGTGGTTAGTTGATTAGATTTTTATTATTCGATATCCGTGTTTATTTCTTAATGTTTATTTCCCTTACCATTAGTGTACTTCACTTCTGTTTTAGGATTTTGTCACCCCCCCTCCTCGCGTAACCAAAAACCCGATTTTGCCAATACAGAAGCCGGTAACACGGAAGTTAACCCGTATATTTCGGCGTTACAAATATCTGCAGTGTTATCAATTTAAACAACCCCCTGCATTCTCTGTTTTCTATACCCTAAGTAGGAGAAGTTGGTCCAGGAAGGAGGAGCAAGAGAATGCGGACGTTCTCAACCAAACTCGATGGCCGGTTCCAGTATGATAAGAAGACGAAAGTCTTGGTTGGCCACCCATCACCTATTGAGAAGGAATCACATGTTGTTGTGAATCCTGAAGACCGTTTTCAGAATTCGTTGAAGAAGCTCAGCGCTGTCAGGTACGACATTATCGTCCTTACAATGTTTATTTGTACTTTGCGTATATTTATTTCCAACATCACATGGCTTTTGTATGATCAGATCAATAAGCCTGGGTGGGGAAGCATCACTGTCAAATAAAGATGTCTTTGATATAATAGAGAGGAGGAAACATCTTAGTGCAAAGGTTTGCTAACCTAAGTTTGCTTAAAATCAATCCGACGTCATTATCTTCTAACCTGACTGTTCGTGTATTCCTTCGACGTAGGTCATGGATGCTCTTATTAGATTTAGTCTTCATCTATTGCGGACGGATGATATTGATGGACAGAAACTTCGTGTCGATCTTCTAGACTCGAAGTTTGTGTCGCTTCTCTTCCGCCAGTTCTCAAAATTTTCCAAGTCTCCCAGCCCTGCTGAGTTTAAATTTCCGGACGACGTCATTACCCAATTTTTAGGTGGCGGAGATAAGGGTCGTGCTCTGCTGTTTTCCGAAGCGGATTGTTTGTATGTTCCCTTCAACTTTGATCGAAAACACTGGGTTTCCCTGTGCATAGACCTGGCCAATAGTTGCATCGTTGTGATTGACTGTAACACGCACCTTAGGAAGGATCAAGAAATCATTGCAGAACTCCAGCCAATATCAATTATGCTCCCTTATCTCATCAAGCAGGCTGGGTTAAGTCAATCTCTTACAGGACCTTTCACCATCTCTCGGCCAATGGGCGTACCTCAGGTGCAGTCTGCTTTTGATTCCGGTATCATGGCTGTATTTTTAATTCACGCGCATGCCACAGGTGGACTTGAAGAATGTGCTGAGGTTATTGTTGAGCAGTTAGAGTCTGAAATAAAGAGGCTTGTGTCAGCCATTATTCTAGCTGGTGCCGCGTAGGGCCAGTTACTTTCAGTTTATGTTCTGTCTCGGTATGTATGGAGATAACTCTTAATGATTCGGTTAACATCTACATTGGATCGGTAATAACATGCTTATCGTATTTTGTTATCGTTATTGTTACTATATCTAGTTATCTATTATTGCGCTTCCAAATAAAAATCCTGTACTAAGTAAATAATATTAGTCATATTTTGGGTTTGCTTCTGTAAAAACGTAGTTAGGTTCCTACTTTTCATAAATTAAGTAGCAGCGCAATTTACCTTGTACATTATAAATGTTATCGCCATACTATATAATTTATCTGGTAAACGATTTATTTACCATATAACGGGTAACTTCATATATTAATTAGTAGGATGGTTATGTAATAAAGCAGGGGGTAGACTATATATTTTGCTACGGAATGTGTATTCACAATTCGGTTTGGGTTGACTATATAACGGCTAGAGTTTATTAGTTATAAATGCAATAACTTATATATTATAACGATAAGTTATCTTATATCCTGCTAATAACCATTGTAGCATACACGCTTGCCTTGATTTGGTTAACTTTGTTTGCGCCACACAATCATTTAGACAATTAATCATAATTAAACATATTACATGTAACGGTTAAACGTAAGTATCATCTTCATTTTTAAAGTATTTGTTAGGCATTAAATTTATTAACTAAATTCGTATTTATTTGGTTGGTTTGGGTTGACACTATATTGTCTAGGGTTTAGCATCTATTTATTTGGTTGGTTAGGCTTTATATCTTTTCTATAATGGTTAGGGTTTATATTTCACAATTTAATCGAGATTATATATTGTTTTGGGTTGATTAAATTGTGGTAGGGTTTAATTTTTATAAGTACAAAGAAAATATATATCTGTTTTGTTACAGTGGTATGAGTTACTTATAATCTTATCTCATAAATCATTTGGGTTGATAAAATAGGGGTTAGAGTTTAAATATGTTATCGCAATATAACAAGATTTATCGCCATTCGATAAGTTTTAACGGTTAATATAAATTTAAAAGTCGTATATTAACCAATATGATCTGTTATATTTCGTAGATAGCACATCCTTGTTATTATTGTTCTAAATCACTTTCAACTCACCCGTGGTAAATATTAAGCTTCGAAAACATTTTATATTTTTTAACCCTACGGTCGTTGAGGAAGGCTTATGTATATGTATAAAAGGTAATTTGGTGTTCTTGGGTATATTCTGTTTGCTAAACTTTTAGGATGATATGAAATAATATCAAAATTAATCACTAACTTATATTTTACCGGATAATTTTGAGTTTTGTATATGGTCTGGGCATTTTACCGGATATAAACTTTAACAGGATACAAACTTTTAAGTTTTATATGCTCATTCCGTAGTATTCAATTCATAAACATAGCAGCATGTTGAAAGAAAATACAAAATAGATTAAGCCAACCAAGCTGTATTCATAATAGAGTTTTTAAAAAACATTGTTTAGATAAACAATGCCAACATAGTTAACATTGTTTAGCCAAACACCGATTTAGAGTTTTCCCTGCTGGGACCATTACAGATAATTAAACATTTACAGGGCAACATGTTAGTTACTTTATACAATGAAAATTACTGATACCCCACCGCTGATTCATTCTCATGATTCCTTATTTTTAAACAAAGCTCAGCTTGGTCTGCTGGAAGCTCAAAAAACTTATGCTCCTTTTCCACCTATGGACACTGAGACATGTAATTCAATGTGTTATCTCGAAATCATTATTCCCAATCGAGTTCAAAAAGCATTTCGAAGAAAGTTACCGGGAATGGACCACGGCATGTAGCCCTATTGTGGCCTAGAGTACGGCACCTTGTGCATCTCCTCCTTGTTGTTCCCTGAAGTGGGGTTTATTTTAATAAATAATATGTTGCAATATAATGAAAATATTACTCGGTAACACCTCAGTTATCATTATAAACTTACCCGGAATTCACCCCTTGAGAAAAGTCTCCTTCTTCTCGGGCGACCTGGGGGCCTCCGCATAAAAGGTGGTGCTAGATTTCCTCCACCGACATCGCTTGGCGATGGTGCTAGGTTTTCCATATCAGGCACCGGCATGATCATCTCTGCGTAACAAGCCCTAAGGTGGGGAACTGTGTGCGACACCCCAACCAAAGTGTCCACCCTCACGCCCTCTCGGATTGCTGCAGCAATAGCGTGCGTGCTAGGAATAGTAAGCATCTGGAACTCACAACAGGTGCATGTTCTCTCCCATAGATGGACAACGAACGCTGAGTCTGCGTCGTCATGGACCTTGTACTGACCATCTCCAATCTTCATCACCATAAAACCAGAACCAGCCTCATAATTATCAATCACCATCTCATTCACCTTGGGGGGTAAGATGTTATCTTCCACTCTAGCCGCTTCCCTCCGCAAGGCGAACCATGTGACCAAGGTAGTACGGATAGTCTCCAAGATAGATATCACCGGGTAATCCCGAGCCATTGTCAAGACGTTGTTTAGAGACTCCGCGATGTTACTTGTCATCACATTGTATCGCTCCCCAACAAAGTGTGATCGTGTCCAGTGTTTGAAACCGATTCCAGTTAGGTAGTCTGCACAAGTAGGGTTCATAACACGTATCTCCCCAAACAGTTTGTTGAAGTCACTCAAGCGGTATGCTCTTGCTGCGCTAGAAACCAGACAGCTGAGCGCTTCCGACTTAAATATAGCAATTATGTTTCGCTTCAGGTGTACCACACATGCTGCATGCGAAGCCATGGGATAAACCTAAAAAGGTATGGAGGTTCTGTAAGTATTAGCAGATAACATCAAAGGAAGAAATTAGCCATCCGAATGTCGTTAAATGGCGTGCAAATCAAATCATTTTTCACCTTTTCAGAAAAGTAGCAACACTCGGCGTTATATGATATATTCATAGTTATAGTACTTAACAGGTTATTATCACCTAAACAATATATTATCACGTATGAGAAATATTATCCGATTTCTAAAATAGTATAGTTGTGGACTTTAAGTTACCTTCCGGATGCTAGAATAGATTGATGAATGGCGATCCGAGACGATTACTAGGTCAGGGTCATCTGGGATCGCCTCAGAAAGTTTTTCCATGAACCAGGTCCATGCTTCATCGTTTTCGCTGTTGACTATCCCAAATGCGATAGGGAACACTTGGAAATTCGCGTCTTGGGCGCTTGCCGCTATCAAACAACCTCCATAACGACCGCGTAGATGTGTTCCGTCTATGACAATGACTTTCCGCATGAACTCAAATCCCTTGATGCATGCACTCAGGGCGAAGAAAAGAAACTTGAACCGCTCCACACCGTCAGACCCAGGAGCTGTTTCCAAATAGACTAGAGAGCCCGGATTGACTTCCACCAAGAGTTTGAAGTATGGCTGTATCAAAGCATAGCTCCCCATTGCCGACCCCATAGCATTATCCATGGCAATTTCCCTTGCTCTCCACGCTTTCCAGTATGAGACATTTAGGCTAAATTCCTGCCTCAATATCTTCCTCAGCTCATTAGGTCTCGGTCCTCTACCCACGCCCATGTATTTGGTCCTCATCAATTTGCCAATCACAGCCGTTGATGCCATCTTGTGGAAGTCCCCCCTAGCATCCACACTACAGGTGTGATGTAATATGGCTGTTCGAACTTCGAATCTTTCACTGTCTTCCAATTTTGTAGCATACACTCTCCATGGGCATGTATCACTCACGCACACGGCAGCCACCACAGTTGGTCTTGATGTGGCACAGATGAAATGGAATTTCCTTCTTATCGCATGGATGGCCAGTTTTGTTGTGCAGTCCTCCTTGTCTTTGTACAACCTCCCAACAAATACATCATCCCCTTCATAGTCAGCATCTTTCAAGGCCCTTCTAAGGAAGTCTGTCATTCAACGAAGTACAATGTGTAGTGAGGCTTGTGACTAATAATTTTAGAAAGATATTTGAATTCGCATTGGACTAAAATGTTTATTGGTCGGTAATACCTTCTTCGCCAGGATCATCAAAATATGGTGGTGCATCCATATCGTACAAGACAGTTGGAACCGGGGTATCTCTCACAAGATCCCGTATCTGTCGTGTGACTAAAGGCGGAGCCGATGAAATCCCTGCCTCGTCTAAAGCGTTCTCTTGGCCAACCTCCAACAGTATACCCTTCCCCTTGTCCTGCTGTGTTGGTTGGACCGGTGTGAGGCAAACTGGGACCTCTGAGTCCGAGTAGTACTCCGCTAACATGTTGCTATCTGCAAAAGCGGTAACGGTGTTTTATAATAGTTAGCTTAACCACGGTAAGTTTTACTTTATAAGGTACGGTCTTTTATACCCGGTAACTTACAAATTAGCGGATAAGGGCGTTTTAATCGGTAACATATAACATAGCGAGAATACTACCAAAAATTTATACCTATTACGTAGTCTGGATCTGGATCCGTAGACATGTCCTCCGACGAGAAAGACACGTTAGCCGAGTTTGGACTTGGTGTCCGGAACATTGAATCCGACGAGGAAATGGTTATGACGTTACTCTCGCTAGCTTCCCCGATCCCACCCGAGATGCCTAGGTTGACGCCTTTTGGGCTACTTGGATTGTTGCTCACGCCAAAATCTAACTGCCTTGCCGTCTTAACCCCGTATTCGTCTGCACCGGTTTGGCTATTTCCAAGGGAAATTTGAGTCGCACAGACCTCTTTCCACATTTCTGCTCGGTACTGCTTCTTGAAAACATGGTAGTCTTCGTCGGTGACAATATCATCGAACTTCATTTTCTGCTTGCCCTTATCCTTAGCCCCAGCCATTGAAGAGGTTGTACCCGGTGATCGATTCCCGAAACGTAGGGGTGGAGATGTCCGGTGGACTGGAACGTTTTCCGCATTCTCCGATATGACTATCCCACCAGCAGTTCCTCTTACCGGGCCGTAAAAATGACTATTTAGGCCCGTGGCCCGTCTGATGCCACCTGCAGAATTTGGCCCCGGTATAACCTCTTGCTTATCCAGTAACATTTTGGTTATCACACTAGTCCAAGCTTCCTGTGTCTCCGTGCTGTTCCAGTACTTGTCGGAGATTTCGGCTGAACTCCGACCGGCGTGAGCGAACTGTGGTT